CACATGCGTAATTGCCACACTAACTGGGACCGATTCGATGATTGATGACATTAACTTGCGACGAAGAATTTCAGGACCAAAAGATTTAAAAAAACACTATATATGTTCATGCACAAGTATTGAACAAGTCAAGTCTACTTCAACCACTTCCAGTTTCTACGGTGAAAAATCAACGTCAACCAATTTGTAGCCACGAAATCATTTCTCGCATGTAGGTGAGGTCGCCTTACTTAGGTTCATAGTATATTTAAACATATTTTTTAAAGCATTTAGTATATGTTGGAATAATTACCAAAGTAAGGTAAAATATTACATTTGATTTATTTATGTGTAGGTTATTTAACTAGCTTTTAAATGTCATTAAGGGAGCAAAATACCATAAATCAAACACGCCCCTTAGCTCAAGAAAACGATACTAACTGAATAATTTTACATTTGTCAAATGGCAGAATTACATTGACGTAATAAATGGCTTTTACATTTGTTACACGTGACAAAATACCCTGGCTAGTATAAAAGATCATTTAAAGTAATCAGCTGACGGCTACTTACTTATCTCTGTCCGAAATAGTCGGCACCAAGAAGCAATTCTTTGCAGTACCATCGAACATAAGACTGATTTTTTTATAACGTCATTCGGCTAGCTCATGTTTTGAATTCTTGTAAATTTGAATTTGATCAAAATAGTAGGTATTAAAAAAAACCTCATTATGCATCTGTTGGGAATTCCTCGCGTCAGGAGAGGTTTTTAGTGTCTGGATGTGTTTGATACTGATAGCAGCATTTTTTTGAGTTCACATATACCACCAATTAGTACTTCCTTCTTTTTCAACGTTAGCACATTTTGGTAACTAATTATCGAGAAATTCTCTCGTTCTCACTAAATCTTGCAAATGTTTGGGACCCCAACCTTGGAGATACTAAACAAAAGTGTTTTTAATTTTTGTTTGTGCATGTGGAGACAAAAAATGGAAAAGCAGGACCACAATTGATTAAAACTTTCTACACTCACAGAGAGTAGAGCAAGGTTCAACAGCTAGTTAATTCGTTGTTGAAGGCATATTAACAAAATAGCGGTTGGTAAT